ACAACAGCACCTAATTCTCATTTCCCAATTCAGAGCTCCCTTTGCAGCCGGGCGAATTGGAATTACATATTTTAATGCAAATTTGTTTGCAGCTGGAAAAGTTTTTGGCTCAGCAGGCCAACGACTAATGAAATTATGGAAAGCAACAAACAAGCGAAAACTTTTTGCTCCCGATTATGAAAGCCCTCGCCTCTCGACCCTTCTCTGGCAACTGGCATGGAGACAGGCGGCAGCAGTAGCAGCAGCAGCCTTTGTAAATAGCTCATTTTACTTGCATATTTTACAAGTTTTTAATCAACTTGCCCGCGGCACAAACTCGCGGTCAATTTGACTTTTATGCAGCGGGGCTAGCCCCTGTCTGGCCAACAAGCGACAAACACCAAAAGTTTAATGCAAGCCCATGATGAACCCCCAAACTTCTTTGGTGGGCTTTATAGTGCTCCATTACCCTATGCACCAGACATCAAAAACGACAGCGCATCCGACTTGCCTCAAAGCTGGACACATATTTGTGAGTTCGCTGAACCTCGGTGCTCCCGACAAGAGACAAAATATGGATAGACGGAGGCGTTAGCTCGCCCGTCACCATCATGTGTGTGTGCCTTTCAGGCAACTTTAGATGATGGTTTTAATAAGGCGAATTCCTGGCCTAAGTCGAAGTCGTCGTAATCCGCGGAAAACTTTGGCAGCTTTGCCAACTGCGTAATAACGGCTTGGATATGCAAAAAGCAAAGTTTTGGCAACCTCATGTAGGGAAGATTCCAGAACGCGGCAAATGACGGCAAAATTGGCCAAATAACAAACTTACGAGCTGTACAACTAAACAGCCTAGCAACTGTAAACACTTCCTTTCTGACTACAAGGACAGCCAATAGAGGGTTGGTCCAGTGTTAGAGAAGCACTGCTGCGGCTCTGGCGCACATCCAATTTATATGCCGACTGTATAACCTTCGCCTTGCCAAGCGGAAATGGCAACATAAGCAGACGGTCAACAAAAAATGGGCGAGAGAATCAAAAGGCAAGGCAGCACGAGTGGACAGGAGCTGCCATGGAAAGCGGTCGTTTAGCTGCCCAACGAGCAAAATAATGATGAATTCGACGGGTCAAAGGCAAATGCAAAAAAAACCCATCGATTTGCAGCGAGGGTAGCGAGAGAAAACCCCTTTGAAGATTCAAGGATACAGAGATAGAGAAAGATATAGCAGGAGCTTCACTGATATATAAATTTAAATATTTGCACTGGCCACGCCTCCGCTCACGCCGGACAGTTGGCGACAGGCAAATAGCATTAAATGTGTTTGCCTCCCGCCTTCCCCGCAGGTTGCGTTCTAAGCGCAACCTGAAACACGTCATGCAAAAATAAAATAAAAAATGCCTGAATTACTTTTTTTTTTTTACTTTGGGGACGGTTGCTGATGGCGGTGAAGGGACCAAAGGGTTGAGCACAAACAGTTTAATATTCCTGATATCCCTTAAAGTCAGGTGGATAAGGGACATGCCCAGCTCTCATAACATAGAAGAGTGCAAGCTGAGCTGCCCCAATATTTGCACAACTGGGATTTGGATTTGCGGACAGATATAAAGCAAGCACAAAGAGAATAGGTAGTAAGATAAAAGTTTGTTCATTTAAGTTGATTTGGTGAGTAAATTAGAAAGGGTCAAATAAAGTTAATATGGCACACTAAACGATTGCAGACAATGCGCAAAGTTCACCTGGGAAGTCTTGCTCCACTCTGGTGAGAGCAACAGAAGCCAGTTGCATTTTGGTTGTGGGGCCTGTCGTTTGCTGCTTTAATTGTTCTCCGGCTGACAGCAGACCGCAGTAGCAGGAAACCCAACCCTAACCTAACACAGCCCTAACAAACGCTGGGCCCCGTCAACCCTTCAACCCTTCAACCCGTCAACCCTTCAACAAAGAAAACGTGCAAATTATTGCGACGCGGAATTAGGTCAACGGGCTGCCTCCTCTCTATTGTTACGCCTGTTTGTTATTGTTGTTGTTGTTGTTGTTAATAAAGCAGGGGTTACTTTTGTGCGCCTTGGCTTGGCTTATCGTTTTTTTCTAGGATTTTTCATTAAATATTTAAATCTAACGCCGTTCAAAATGCGTCTCTCTGGATTCGATTGGGGCTGGGCTCTCATTTGCATATAGCATATATCGAAGAGATTTTTGCGATGGTTCCAGACGAAACGTTTTGCATCTGTTTGTTTTCATAACCACTGAGAAAATGGGATTCTAGTTTTCCCCATTTTCAGCCCCTAATGAGTAAGGGGACTCAAAGTCTATGTAGCTTGATAAAGTTGTATTTTGCAAAATAAATTCTTAGTTTTAAGACACGAAAAGGAACTGTTAAAGGGGTCGGATACCGTCTTGCACTGGAAAGGCAATGTGGTTGCATCAAAACAAGTGCATTTGTATATGTCTGTGGGTCACCAACACATCCACACACATACACACACACTTATACGGTAATGTTACGTGACTCGCCTTCTAATCTAGTAGTCCTTTCTTCACTCCGTGCAGACGACGTCTCTGCTCGGCTTGAATTCACAACACTTCGTTCTTTTCTCTAGTAATTTTCGCATTTTCCGCGTACCCCTTACCCTTCCATTAACCAAGCCACCTCTCACTTACTCTCTCGTTGAGTGGTTTGCGCCAATTTTTTCATGTTTTCATGCGTGTTGCATGCGGCACAAAACCAACAATAATACTACAGTTATCCGTGACTGACTGGCACATACCCTATATTTGTTTAATATGCATAGGCGCACAGAAATGGGTTATTGGTTAAATGAATTCGGCTGCTAAAACAGATCGAGAATATATATTATATTATACGCTCGCATTGGGTTTCTTTGTTTTGTGTTGCCATTACACACATTTACACAGTCTCAATCTTTTCAACAGAAACAGAGGGTATTTCAGCAAACCACATGCAACAACAACAAACTCAACAATGACGACGCTGATTGTAAAAATGTGTAGCAGAAAAACAAGAGCAACAACAATGGCAACAATGTGCGAAGTCAAGTGCCTGGCTAAGGCAATCAACTTGTGTGTGTGTGTGTGTGTGTGTGTGTGTGTTTGTGTGTGTTTGTGGTGCCATATTTCATTACATTACTGTAGCAGCCACTTGCTACTACTTCTTCTTATTGTTTTTCCTGTTCCAACTTCAGTTTCCTTTCGCTATCACAAGTCTTCACGCCTTAAAGTATACTTTGTTTGCGCTTTCCCCATTTTGCTTCGATAATGAAATGTCCCCTCGCCTCCCACTTTGCTTGTTTACTCTGTTTTGGGCTGGCCAGGGTTTTTCTGGTTGCCATAGCATTAACTTTCGCCCATTGTCCGACTAATGGCAATTTATATGAATGAAAATGGAAAATTAAAACATGTGTACTCTCATTTCAGTTGTTTCTGTCGATGGCTGCAAATTGAGACTGTAAGCAGGCAATATAGATTGCAATAAATACAAACAAATAAAGAAAGAAAGAACCAAACAAACAAAAACAGTCTTTGATAATGGCGACAATTTTTCATTAGTTCATTAATCGAATGGCGAGCAAAAGGAAAAAACTCACATATTTTGATTAAAATAATTATATTTTATTATATTTATTTATGTTTGTGTTCATAGGTCGACGGCGAATTTAATTTAATATGGCAGAGTATATGTAACAGACAGTTTACATACAAACGTACATATCATTTACCAAGAACATCTTTGCTATAAACAATTAAAACTCAAAACAGAAAACATACGTTTTTCCAAATGATACAACGCTTGCCGAACATCTGCTTATAAACACAGAAAGGAATACAGAGAGACCAGAGCAAAGACTGAGTTAAATACCAGAGACAGACAGACAGACAGAGGGAGTGAGAGAGAGAGGGGGGGAGGGAGGCAGAGAGTGGGTGGCATCATAAATTCCAGTATGAGCACAGCAAATTCCGCATGTGGAAATAAATAAATGTGTCAAGACTGGAAAACGCTGGCGACCATTGGAGCCATGCGCGGTTGGCTTTGGCACATGACGCATGCAAAACACAGCAAGCAAATGCAACCCGCACACACACCCACATTAATACTCAGACACAAATAAATACTTACACATTTGAGTACACAATGCACAAGGCAGATGGGTAAACATAAATATACACACATACGTACGTATGAATATATATCCACATTGAAATTAATCCGCATAATCAATGCGAGCGCGTGGCTCCAACGGTCAAAGGAAAAGTGGAGAGCGAAACTGTTCAAGAAAATTCTAATTTCAATTAGAATACGATGCGCTTGGCGCGGATTACGCGCGGCCTACGCCACAAATGCAATATGGCCACACCCCTTATACTTGTGTGTGTGTGTGTGTGTCCCCTATACTGTTTCATTTTAAAGTGCAAGAGCAGCTCGCCTTGGAAGTAGCATTTGTCATATTTTGTGCAGCGTCGATGTCGACGAACAACAAAAAGAACCAGAAAAGAATGCGCATATTTTGACATAAACTTACATATTTGCAAGTGGTGCCAGAAGGAACGGGAGTGGAGCAATGGAGCACTGGAGCTATGCGAAGCAAGCAGATGTACAAATAAGCGTGGATAGGGAACGCGAGAGATACCAAAGCGCCTGCTGCTGCACGTGCATTCATGCAGATGCAGCAGCAGCGCAGGCAGCAGCGCTGGCAGCAGCGAATGCAGCAGGAATGCAAAGCAAAACAAAAGTAGTGGAGTTTACACACACACATACATATTCATACACACATACATAAATACATGCATTTTAAATCGCAAGCATGCTTTCATTTGTTTGCTGTCTGTGTTTGTGTGTGTGTGAGAGAGAGAGAGAGAGGAATTCATTCTTTTGAACAAAGTGGCGCTTATTCAGTGTACGTGTGTGCCTTTAAGCATATGCGCGTTTGACTGTGTGGGTGTGGTTCAGCGTTAGAACAGCCAAGTTGACAGCACTAAGCTAAGCTAGGAAAGAATGAGGAAAACTTACCTTGTAAACGTCGCCATAGGTGCCAGAGCCAATTTTCTGTATGAGCTCGTATTCATCCTGCGGATTGCGCCGGGATATGTCCGAGCTGAGCAAGTTGGCGTTGTGGTGACTGTGAGAAGCGGCCATGACGAGAGCGAATTTACTAAGCGGCTCTGCCTGCCTATTGTATTTTGCTGGGCTCTGCTCTTTCTATTGTTTTGTTGTTCTTTTCGCGGCTGCTACCGCTGCTGCTGCTGCTGCTGCTGCTGTTAAATATTCTGGCCGCTGTTTTGTGTCAGTTTCAAATATCGTAAATTTGATTAAATTGTTGCATTGTTGTTGAGGGCCGTTGGCACCGCTCAAATATTGGAAAACTTCTTGGAAGTTAAATTTTAAGCAATTTATTTGCAAAGTTGCGTAACGTTAACTATTTGCGTATTTATAGAACTGAAATTTGAATGAATATCGAAAATTAGCTTTTGCACAAATACACACAAACGACAACAACAACAACAACAACAAAGTGGACATCACATTCGCGTATCTCTTTAAACGCAGAAATAATCACGAAATACTCGTAACAAACGAAATAGAAGAGAATCGAAGCGAAATTAAAGCGAACACGCCAACAATAACAACAATAACAACAGCCAAAAATAATGATAAACGCGACGGCGTTAGCGTTGGCGTTGGCGTTGCAATGTGAGAGAAAGCGAGAGCGGCGGCAGAGGCGTCGACATCGGCGTCGCGGTCGCAAAAGTGGAAAAACAAGTGGTAGCAGCGACGGCAGCATCAACGACAAAAAAGTTCGCTTAGTTTTTAATTTGATTTGTTTATTTTTAATATTTTTTAGCCGCTTTTGAGTGTTGTTTTATGTGTAGTTTTATTATTTTATACACTAAATGTATATCAGTATAAACAGATGCCAATTGGAAATATATCGCACTCACATACGCGACAGACACGGCGGCGTTGGCAAACATACACATAAACAGGCAGACGCACACATATACGCACACTCACACGACACGACAACAACACGAAACAAGGCAAAGGCAAAGGCAAAGGCGACGGCGACGGCGACGACGACAGCAAAGCTACTGCGGCTGCTTCTCTTCAGCTTTGTGCTGCTTTTCGTCCGTATGATTTTGATTCCATGTCGCGTCGCGAGGCGTGTCTGTTGTTCTGTTGGGCACTTGCACGACGCACGCGATATTTGTTGTTGTTGGCGTTAGCTGTTAAGTGCTTTGCGACAAATTCACTTAATTCCACACGTGCTTACTTGATTTTTTTTTTTTAATCTATTTTATGAATAATTTTTACGCACTATAAAAACACGCACACACACACACATATATATATAACACACGCGACCAACCGACCGACGAGTGCAGCGCAAGAACAAATACAAATACAATGCGCGCACCTACATGTTTTAACCAGGTTTTTTGTACTCAACTGGCACTGTTAAACAACATTTACGATAAATGTTGCCCAAATTATAAGTAATGTTGGGGCACATGTTGCTGCGTGAGCAGTGTTGCTTGTGAAGTATTTTCACATTACAAAAGTATGATATTTGTTTAACATTCATCAATTACTTGTAGCATTTACGTCTAAAATATTTAGCAATAAATACTACCGAAACTGTTAATAATGTGCTTCAAGAAATGTTGCTCGGCTGATGCACATTTCTGAATCTGCTAACTAAAGCCACTGTTGTAGCCAAACATAATGTTATGGGCAATCGATATATAAATAAGCGATAATTACAGACCTGCTTGCTAATTAATCGATTTTGGCCAAGCAGCTGTTCTGTCAGGGCTGCCAACTAACTCACATGCTGAGTGTGGCCAGTCAAGCGGCAAAGTCAAAAACAGTTTTAATCTACTTTTTACCATTGATTTTTATTTAAAAATGTTTTCAATTTTGTACAATTATTATTCGTGATGGTAATTATAAACATGTTCATAGGCTCTCTTTTTGTTAATGCTAAGAAATTCAGTAAAAAAAAAAGATATTCTTTAAATGAAACCAAAGTATTGCACTCGTGTAAAAAATATATAACATAATTATAGTAAAAGAGATAAGGATCAAATACATACAGAAGTATGTATGCAAGTGTATTTTCTTTTTGTTTTTAGAGTTCAAGATTTAAATAATCTAGATGACTTCTTTTCGTTTAGTGTATAAATTGCAAACTATTTAAAATTACTATTTCGATTCAAATCGGTGCATTGTAAATTTTCACAATTTCCTAATGCTACGATCCGCAGCAGCTGAGTTTAGTTTCGTTCTGTGAAAGGAAGAATGGAAACTATTAGAGAAAACTGAAAAAAAAGATGGGTAATTTAGAACAACAAAAATGAATGCTATAAATACATAAACAACAACAAAACGGATTTAAGGCGGCAGCTAAAGGATACGAATTAGAGAAAAGATAATCAAAATTTTGCTTAGCTTTCATGCTTTTCAGTAGAACATCTTCCAAATCAATTTCCGAGCGAGTAACGTGTTAATAATTTATTTAACAATTAGGTGACAAGGAAATTTAATGGAACTTTAAGGTGCTGAGAAGCTTACCCATTGTCCTACGTTAGAAAACGGAAGTTCACAAAAAAACTGAACTGTTGCGTTGAGCGGAACCGGACGTGATCCTAAAACTCTCTGCTCCCTCTCTCTCTCTCTCTCTCTCTCTCTCTTTCTCTCTGAATATTTTTGTCTACCATATTTTGCTCTTGGCGTCAAAATTACGATAACTTGCACATAAACTCTTGTTGTTACCTTAAACTCTTTGAAAAATATCAAATTTATATTGTGCTCTTATATTTACTGATCACAAGGCATCCTGTGTCCAAGGTTTTAGTTGTTGTGAGTTGTATATGTGTATGTGTGTGTGTGTTTGTTTTGTGAAATAGAAAAACATCAAATTATGTTAGAAATCTGTATGAAATAATCATGGAGTAGATGATAGATAGACAGATAGATAGATAGATAGTTGGTGAAAGCGTTTAAATATACGACACATTTTAAGGGATAGTCCATATATATTTGTTAGGACGTGCAAACACTCGAGGATTTATATTATTTTAGAGCAAGAACAGCAAAGGATAGAAATAAATAATTAATGCCAAATAATTTCGAATCCTGACGCCAATCGCAACTTTGAAAAGCTCAAACAGAAAATCTTTTGCTTACAGTAAATATTCAACAGCATTTAGCAGACATTACAATATTAATTATTAATACAAATAGTGTATGGGATATTTAAGTGTGAGTATTTTGATTCAGTTAACTATATTCAAATCTCGCTCTGTGAGTACCGGATATGAGGCCCTACATTGTGGCACAGAGCAGGGGGGAGGGGGTTTGTGTGTGTGTGTGTGTATGTGTGTGGATGTGTTTTTTTTAAAAAAAAAAAAGAGAAAAATAAAAACAGAAACAATAAATTAGTTTTTCAATTATTAGGGCCGACCACCGTATAAAATATAAAGTGAATCAAAGTGAAAGGAGTTATACAGAACCAAGCATAGATGGATTCCCGCTATTTGATCGACTTACAGTTCCATGGAGAGAACAGTGGGATTGGGACACGCCTGTGGGGCCCGTATGTGACATTGCTTGTGACAGATCAGCTGGCAGTCGCGGCACTCGTAGCCCTGCTTGCCCGGCCGCCGTGGTATGGACTTCATGCAGATCGAGCACTGCAGGCCGCTGCTGCAAATCGAAATATACACATATATATATAAAAATATATACTCTGTCAGAGGAGAGGAGGCAGCTCACATACCCGCTCAAATGCTTGGCAATGAACGTGTGGTCATTGTAGATGTGCAGCTTGGTGCCCTTGCGACGCCAGCGGGGTCTCTGTGCAATGGCCAGCGGCACGATAAAGTGTCTGCAGGCGGAAATAAAAAAAATTAATAATAATTGACTGATTGGAGAAATGAAATGTGTTACTAACCGCTTAATGCCATTCTCTACGGTTTCTAGGACCAATGTGGATGCCTCATGGACATAGGTTTTGTTGCTGGCCGAGGAGAATCCAGAGATGGCTGAGGATTCTGAAATTGAAGAGCGTCGTGAGTGGTCGGTGATGGATGAGCCAATTCCCATGCGGGGTCCTTCATTTGCATGATTTTTGTTGTGAAGTTGTTATATATTTTGTTGATTGAATTGAATATAAATATAAGTGTTGCATAGATGCACAGATTACATCCATAGCCATAGCGACATACACACCAAAAACCCGAATCAATCAAATTGTGGCGCAAAAGTGGTTTAACATATGAAAATAAATATAAATAAAAGGAAACCAAATATAAGCGCAGTGTATTAAATTATACAGAAAAATATTAATTCAAATATGTATGTATGTAAGTATGTATGTGTGTATGTATGTGAGTATGTGAGTGTGTGTGAGTGTGTGTGGGTGTGTGGAGTGTTTAATAGAATACCACACATACAAATAGTAGATAGATAGAGAATATTTCAAGTAAAGGTACATACAGATTTATATTCGTGCAGGAAACAGTTGGGTTAGCGTTCAAATGGAGAAAGAGTAGAATCAAGAATAACAAAGTTAAGGACATAACACAAAATGTCATATATGTGCATATAAGGACTCGAAATGGAACTCGAACTATATTCGTTATATATATACATATAAATAATATGATTATGATATGATGCGATGCCATAAGAATCAGTTCAAGCTGACAGAAATTATAGCTTCGTTTTTTAACTTAAGCAGAACTGAACTGATTTTCATGTTTGGGCGCATTTTGAATTAATTAGAATTTTTCAATTTATAAATATTTTAATAGTTTTTGCAAATTTGAAAAGTGTTTTTTTTTTTTTTGTATATTTAAATAATAGAAATGGTGTGCGTGTGTGTGTGTAGTGGAGGTGTAAATGAATTTTGGGTAATTACCAAGTGAATTGCTTTTAGACAGAGTGGCACGATCGACAGATAATGAACGGGAAGATTCACCATTAAGGGCTCCTGTGGCTGTTCTTGTGAGTCCTGTGGCTGTTGTTGTATTGGCGGAATTGGTGGCTGATTGTGAATTATGGTTGTTATTCGGCTGGTCAGCCGAGAGGGTGCGTGTTTTGGAGCGGCTGAGCCGTTTCTTGAGGGTGCCAAAGAAATTACGTTTTTTGCTGCGACCACGTCCGTCCAGCTCCTGGCCCGACGGCTGCTGCAGGCCCGCATACGCCGAACTGCCGCCGTTTCTGGGCAGGCTGTTCGAGTTGCCGCTACCATTGGCCGGACCGGCGAGATTGCTGGTTCCATTTAAGCTGTAGTTATTGTGCTGTGTGTAGCCGCTGCCGTTCGGCGAGGAGGCGGCATTTGGCTGACCAAACTGCAAGCAACGGAAACCGAGCTTAGAACTGAGCTCCACAAGTATTCAAAAGAAAAACTGCATGCCATGCTTGCATGCGAAACTAATCTGAACGCCGTGCAACCTACTTGGTACTCACCTCGGCTGTGCTTTCCTCGTTGGAGTTATTGTTACCTGTCGTGTTTGCCGATTCGCTGGCCGGGCTGTCTACCAGGTCGGCCGAGGCGCTGGCGCTGGCGCTGGCCATGTTGGCCGCCTCGGTGGCGGCACGCTCGAATGCCTGGGCAACAACCTGGTCGAGCTCAGTGGGAGATTCGACGACCTCGATCTGGCCATCTTTGTTCAGCTCGACCTGGCGAGCGCGTGTGTTTTGTGTTGTGGCATGGTTAGAGAAGCGCGGGGTTAGGCAAACGGTCAATAAACAGAACGAGAAACAAGTTCAGATTAGTTAAAAATGGATCTATGCAACTTGAAGGATGATTAGCTCATTAATAAAATTGATAAAATTCAAATAAAAGAATCTTGAGACGGGTGGCTGGAGACTGGAAACAAAAGTTACCTTAAATGCATTTGGATTGCTCGAGTTCTGGGCGGGATCACAAAATGAAATGAAAGAAACGGCCAAAGAGATGATGAATTATAAAACCAAAGAAAGAATAGAAGGCCTAGCCAGGAAATGGAACAGTAGGGAACAGGTGCCTCCATGCCCCGCGGAACTTACCCGCTGCACACTGTGGATGATCAGGGTGCTCTTGTTGGGCTGCCCGCCGCTGGTGCCCGAGAGCGTGCCGTCCTGCAGGGCTCGGACAGCGGCATCGGCCAGGTCGGCACCGTTGCGTATGTGCTCGTTGATGGCGGGCGTGCTGAGGCGCAGGGCCTCCTTCAGGCGATTGGGACGCGCGCTGGCCGGAATCTCGGCGCCCTCGATGAACACAAAGTCCACGGTTATGGCGCCCGACACCGGCTGCGTTTCGTAGGGTCGCGGCTGCAATTGCAGCAGTTGCGTGGAGGCGGGCCCCACGGCCAGTTCGTCGATGCCAACCAGGCCGAGGCCAAGGAACTTGGGCGGATCCGATGCAATCACCGGATGGTCGTAGACCTCAAAGAGTATTTCAGCAGATTGTGGGGAGAGTTCACTGAAAAGGGATGATACGAAAATTGGATTGGACAACTGAGAAATGATGAGCTGACTTACAAGAGGAAGTGCTCATCCCAGTAAGGCTTGCTGCCGCGCTGCGTGCCCGTTTGGTTTTTCTGCGCTGGCTCGTCCATCTCAATGACAACATACGGCTCGTGAGCGTCCCGCAGTCCCTCACCCTTGACGATCTTCACCAGCAAACGCCGGCCGGACACCATGTGCTGCGAGTCGCGCAGAATACCTGCGCCCAGGTGTTCCATGTTGTGCTGTGTGTGGGCCAAGCATGCAATGAGCGAGCGACAGTGAATGAATTAACAGAATTGAATACTCAGAGAGAACTTAGGTTAGCTGAAGCTTTTATGAAATTCGCCTTGAAACGCGATTGAAGGTAACTAGGGGGAAAAGGTGTTGAAATATTTTTAGAAATTGTAATAATATTGAAAGTATTGATTGCCCTGAAAAGAGAGAGCGCAAAAGAGAGAAGTTTTACTTAAACGCAAACGGATTTATGGAAACATGTGACCTCTATGACATGTTAAACGGAATATAGACGAAAGGCGAATTTCATAAACAGAACAATGAAAACATCTAAGTTATTGAAGATACACGATAAATTGAGAGATGTTTTAATGTTAGACAGAGATGTTAGATGGGTGGGGCGTAAGAATAATGAGAAGTGTGGTTTCTGTTGTCTGTGCGGAGCTCAGGGAGACAAATCGTGGGCTCGGCCAATACTGTACAGTCTCCGAGTTGAGTTCTGTGTAAAGCGCAAGAGGTTACGAATAGTATGTCCAAAATCAACTGAAAAGACAGTCAACAACAAAAACACGCAACACGCAACACACAACACGCTTCTCAGTGCTCTACACGCTCACCGCCAACGAGTCATAATGCACGGGATAGATTACAGGCAGCTCCAAGGGCTCCACCTCGGCGCGCGGGCAGGTCGAGTAGATGGAGAAGTCCACCGGATAGACGGTGTCACGCAGCGCCGTCGTCAGTATGTCGCCAATGACAGTCTGCAGCTGCTGCTCATCCTGATCCATGGCCTTGATGGCGCCCACGCTGTTCATGGCAATGCGTACCTGTGTGCGATATACAATGGAGTTTAGCAACGGGGATATAGTATCTATATAGGAGGGCACTTACGTCCGGATAGCCGTCGACACGCATCTCACCCTTAAGCGTATTATAGTTGATGGGTATGGACATGCGTGCACGGAATCGCGACACGGTGACCTTATAATGCGAGGTCTCCACCTTGCCTGACTTCTGCCGGAAGGTCTTCACCTGCAGCACGGGCATCGCATCGCAATCGAAGGTGATCAGCTTCAGGGAGTTAAGCTTCAGTTAGTATCGGGCACGGCCGTGAATCATTCTTGCGGACTGCTTACCATTTCAGCGGGATTGTGCTCCTCGCAGTTGCAGAAGATATTGTTCAGGCCCGGTGCCGGGCTGTCGGGCAGCACACGCACCACTTCAACGGCCACGCCATGCTGCAACGGAAGGAGCTGATTTTAGAGCCGCTTACAACAAAATCGAAACCTGTTGGCGGCAGTTGCCGGCCCCCAGTTTCAGGTTTGCTGTGACATTACGTAAGCGACAGCGATAAAAAAAAAAAAAGTGGTGCGCGATCCGAGAAACAGCAAAAGCAACGGCAACAGCAAAAAAGTCATAAAACTGCGAAAATGACTAACATGATGAAACAACACTCGTAAATAAAATGCTGACCTTGGCCTACGTTCATGAGAGCGGGCTTTCGGCGCGTAAAAGCCGATAAAAAGCAACGCAAGCTGTGCTCAAACGCGTTTTCATGCCAGTTACGGCCGAGCGGCCAGCCAGGTTTCTCAAGTTGAAAGTCGAAGCCACGTAACCAGAACAGAGTTCAATGCACGCGGCAGCCCGGAGAGCCAATATCCTAATGACATCACAACTGGTCGAAGGTGACGTGCTGCCTGCTGATGATGTCAAAGCTGGGGGGCTGATGTCATGTACTCACCTCCTCGACGGACTTGCGCAACGTATCGTTGATGGCAATCACCCAGGACATGAGCAGCTCGTTGACTATAACCAGATCGCTGTACAGCCAGCGAAACACTTGACTCGTCCACGTGACGGAGCTCTGGCAGAGAAAACAATCCATCAGTTGTGAATATAGCCATAGGATTTTGTAGGATTCACTCACCGTTTCGGGTCCCACCACATTCGAAGGCGGCGGCACATAGCGTTTCTTGCGATTCTCTGGTCCTGTGGAACTCTGACGCACCACACGACGTCGCGCACCGGCTGCAGCGCCGCTGCCGCCCATGGGCGAGGCTGTGGAGCGTCCACGCCCCGCTGAGCCACCAGCCGTAAGTGGCTTGGACAAATCGTCTACTTTGCTTTTGGTGGCCAGCAGATCGCGTGGCTCAGACAGCCGCTTTTCCAGCTTAGCACCACCGGCCCCCAAGGCACCGCCGGGGGCCACGCTGCCCTGACGACTGTTGCTGGCGCTGGCGGAGGCGCCCTTGTTGAGATACTTATGGTAGAGCAGCTTGCACAGCCAAACGGAGAAGAGGGCCAGCACGGCCCACAAGAATATGAATATGGCTAGGGAGTCCATTGTTAAGTCACCAAGTCCCTCGAATGAGCAAATATAGTCATCGATTTGATCTGCCAGATCCATTGTTCAGCAGCGCATGGCGACGATCCACGGGGCGGTCAGCATCATTAAAATCCCAGTTAAGCCTGCAAATCGGAACAATCACGGAATGAGTTGCAACTTCGAATTCGATATCGAAACATATAGTCGGTATCTACAACAACGTAGCACCACTGGCTCTGGGAGCTCTCAGATCTCTGAGATCTCTATGGGCAGCCATGAAAAGACCCGTGCCTATTTATAGATTCTTTTTTTTTAAATTTTTCGTTTGAAAATATGAAAAAGTTGTTCACTCACAAAGAAATGTGCACAAGGAAAAGCCCAGAAAAATTCTTTTCAAAACTTATATTAAACAAAATAAATAATTAGGTATTTTATTTTGAAATTTATTGGGTTAAATAATTCATAAAAAATAATTAAATACGCGTAAAAGAAGAAAAACTAAAATGAAAATCGTTATGTTCTAAAACCGAACCGAAATGAAACTGAACACAATTCGCAGGCCCCTGCCGTGTGTATCTCAAATAAGAATCTGAGAATATGTTGACAAACCATTTATGCGCCGACGCAGAGAGCTTGCCACACTTTCTTGTGGGTGAGGGAGGGCGGCATAGAGAGGGGGAGCGGCTCTCACTGGAGTAGCAGGCGGGCAACTATTGACGTCATGACTTTTTGAGGTCGCGAACATGCCAAAAAAAAAAAAAAACACAAAAGAAAAAGGAACGAGAAAAAGAGGCTATCTTCGGCAGGTCGCAGATTTTATACCCTTTCAGACCCAACCTTTTCATAATGTTCATATCGGTTGGCGCGTTTCTTAGATGCACAGGGAACATTGTTTATGCCGAGTTTGGTCAAGCATTCTGGATAAACATGGCAGCTATTTGATATAGTGGTCCGATGTTGACAGGATTGAGCATACGTATGAGGAGCATAGGAAAACTAATAAATGCCGAGTTTGGTCACGATACCCTGATAAACTAAAAAGTTGTTCATACAAGAGCCTACTCTTCGAACGATTGTTCCTATGGCAGCTATATGATATAGTGATCCAATCCAGCTCCAGTTCCGGCACAGATAGACGTTCAGACGGACAGAGCAATATCGACTTGGCTGTTGATCACTGATCAAGCATATATATACTTAATGGGTTCGGAGATGTCTCGGCACGGGTATCAAAAAAGAAGAGCCCCAGGCAACTTCAAAGAGTCGCATATCAAAGACATAGAATTATAAAATTTGTCGTATTCTACTTTAAATGTTTCCCCTAAAGTACACGTCTTTGTTGGGTTGTTCAATGCGTTACAAATTGCATGGAAATACTATAATACCCTCGGCGAGTGAATAAAAAACAGAAAAGACTGCGCCTATTGTGTGTAAATAAATAAATACATACATATATAAATGCTCATTCGGCAGATAAACACAAAAAGAAATGACGTAAGATATTTGGGAACATTTGAAGCTAAGGAAAACCTATTTTGCCTATTTTGCAGTTAGGGAATGGATCAACAAATTAAATTGTTTCTATTTCCAAGGGTTAATTTCTAGTTAAACGGATTTAAAGGGCAACCTAGCGCATTTCACAATATTTGTACACCCAGAGTTGGAAGAACAACAAACACATTTTTACACTTTCAGGCATGGAATTTCCTCCACCCCCTCCCCCCCACCCCGCCCCTTTGCATTCCCATTCGAATAGATGCATTCCACTTGACCGTTTGGCACTCGCCGCAGTTAATATTTAAACATTTGCTAGTGCTATTTGCTTGTTGTTAAAAATTTGGCAGCGTTTCGCTTTGTCTTGGCAAGGCCATTGGCTATTGGTCATTATTTTATCCATTTGTTGCTCTCGCTGAAAGCAAAACAATCCCCAACAACAATAACAATTAGATATCTCTGTGTCTAGTTTTGTTTAGCTCCTGGAATCTGTTTCGTGTCATTGCGAACAGCGCTCGATTGAATATCAAAGATCGCACGCAGCAACTGTTCACATACATATACACATATATATATAGATATATAGATATATACATAGATATATATATATATATAAATATATGTGTAAGTGCTGGGTATAAATCTGCTTGGTCTTATGCCGTTCTTGCTGCGCCGTTGACTTTGACTTAGCGGCTCGGCTTGCTCATCTGGCGGAGCGCGTCTATTGACCCCGCTGGGCTAGCAGAGTGGGACAGGGGCGACAGGGGGCGACGCTATTAGAAGAGCAACAAGTATTCGTGGGTATTTTTAAGCATAAAACAAAAGGCAAAACAGCGAATAAGCAACTGAGAAAAATACCGAATGCCTTCTCTTGGCGCCGCAGCCGTCGCCCCATGAACTGCTGCCAAGGGGCGGCTGGCAGACCCCAAGAGATTTACAAGTGCTAACAATGAACAAATGTTCCTCATTGTTGTGCCCAAATCATTAGACGTATATACAAAGTCATAAAGAAAGCCCAACGAATTTGATTGTTTTTAAAGAGATAGGCTAAGGCACAAGACTTGAGTTTGAGGTTGAATTGGTTTTTAATCAATTTGATTTGATAAAGTTGCATATTCATAATTCAACTGCGAGCGAGAATTGCGCAAGCCTTGGTCTGACGACCTGCAACATGTTGCCAAAAACCGGTTCCACGGCTTTCAATTCCGTTTAAATTGCAGGCCGAACCGTTAGCAGGGTCATAAACTCCGGGCTTGAAAATAGGGCGGTACTTAATTGATGAGAATGAGACCATGCTCTTGATTCCCACCTGCTCTGTAAGGTCTTCGAGCGTGGCAGGCATTAAGCTAATTGCAGCCCTTGCTACTTAAAAGCATAACTTATTAAATTTAGGTATGCACAGGCATTGCCTATGTGCCGCTAAAAATAGAGCTTCAGTAATGTGATATAGCTAAACGCAAAGCCAGCCAAGCCGGGCGGGCGGGCAGCTTTAAGGCCAGGCGAGAAGTGCTTGGAATTTCAGTAATTTGTTTTAATTGATTTGCCAATAATACTCGAACGTGATATGAATGGTAAGTCTATCCACCAGCTCATTCATGCACAAAAAAAGAAATGGGACACTCTTTGACTATCTAATCTGGGCGCTTATCAGTGAAGGTCGAGCAAAGCGCAGGAGCGATTCGAACTGTGCCTGAACTGCCCGAAGCTGCTGTCTGGCACTGGGTCAATAACATATACATACTTTGATTGAGACACGTGCTGATGTCATTTCAACGTATATATGTATATATGAATTCTTTGTGCCAATTGATAAGACGTCATCGTAAACAAATGGGTGTTGCCTACTTTATATGTAAAGAATTAGAATTCCGTGTATTTAAATACACTCACATCAAGTACGACTAATTCTAAGTTTAAGTTGTGATTCAATGCGAAAAAGGTTTCTAACTCTTATCGGCAAATTTCGCATTTCGCATTTCGATTGGCGGTTGTTAAAGTTATAAAGCAAACATCAATTGCCGTTCAATTAAGCTCTTAAAATAGTCAGTTATTAGCGGCATGCAGGTTTCTATTTGTGTATAAATCAAGTCGACCTTTAACACTGCCGCCTTTACTTACAAAGGCAACGCATGTTTGGCGCTGGGAGCTCAAGTTCCGATGGTATTAGCTACACACTTGGTGTGGCATCATCGTCATCATCATTACGCAGCTTCCGCCGCGACAATAGAAAATTTGTGACGCCTACGTGGCGTATGCGCAATACGTGCAAACTAGAAATGACTGCGGCATTACGCATACGTACAGTTAGCGCAAAGTTGTAGACCACGCGGCTAACATTGGATATAGAAAAATGGTCAGCTTATTAACTGATATGCTTTCAAAATGATACACTAAATCAAGTATATCTCTGTGCCTGCCTATAGAGTTAACAATTATTGTGTAGGCAAAGTTCAAGTGAAGCGGCTTCTGCCGCTCGCTTGCGAGCAAAGTTCACCTGCAAAGTTCACACAGCTTTCGTTGTCAGAACTGACAGCTTCGTACGCCTGTGTAAACTCGTTTGCTGTTGGGGCTCAGACTCGAAAGGCCCCTTTATCGATTACCAAGCGCGAACAACATACAACCAGGACACAGCTCAACGTAAATAAAGACGGACTCGTCTGGAACCAGAAGGCTTCGGGACTGGGTCACACGGCCCAACAAATATGTACGAGCTGAACTACTCTCTCATACTCTTATATCATCAATATATATACATATATGTTTATTGCAAATCTGTATTTGGGCTTCATCGAAATGAACAGTACTCATTCGCTTTTTGTTTTGATTTCGAGCTCTTTGTTGATATTGATTTTCGTTGTCGACACAAGGTTAGCTCCAAAATTGAGACCTCTCGCCAAGCCCCGCCGACATTAGCCTAACGTACTTGGCGAACAGCTGGTGCGTCTCCGGGCTTGTTTGCGGCGCCAACTTGTTTGGGGCTGGCTGCTGGGGAAGGCCACTTTTTTATATTTGAAGATTTTAAAATATCAGATCCAATTCGTATTTGAACTTTGGGCATATGTTATGACCGCAAAAGGTTGTCAAGGCAACACACGATGATGACCCCAGTTCATGAAATTGATTTATTAACATTTCGATTCAATCAAAAAAAAATAAAAAACGCAAACAAAACATATTTGATGCTTGATTATGTTGGCTCTGCGAGCGAGCGAAAAGCTAAGAGCAAAAGCTTTTGAGAGAGACAACAGCCCTGCGCCGGGGGGGTGGGCCAAGTAAATGCAACTCGGTTAGCAGGCTATCAGACTAGAAGGTGGTGGGTGATGGGTGGTGGGTGGTGGGTGGCAAATGACAATTACTGCAGAGCTCTGGCAACAAATGACGTGACCCACTGTTGCCACTGGGCGAGGTTGCGCCTCGCGAATGTGCGAACACTGTTAACTGATGTCGGGCACGGCACGGCACGGCAAGGCGTCTCCAGGCGAGGGCGATAGCACAGGCATTCCAAAGGATATCCCTTAAATCCTGCTGCCCAAACAGCGTATCCTTCACTTACGTATGCGCAACAACATATATACCCGCTGAGCCAGTCTCAATGGACACGGGGTACAAATCCACACCCAAGTGCCGAGCCCAGTTAACCCAAAAATGGGGTAAATACAAAATTGTCTAGGGGGTTGCTTCGCTATGCTTAATTTACTCACATTTCCATCCAAAGCGGCGTCATTTATTATTGTTTCCAGGATGCGCATTTTCCAATTTTTGTGTTTCATCACGGGTTTCAAGAGTGAAAAAAAAAACATATTAACGCGTTTATTCAATTTTTTGCAACAAGCTTACAAATAGAAAAAAATAGAATTATAATAGATCTGGGGGTTAGTTGCTGGCAGTAATACTTGTATGTGTGTGTGTGTGTGTGTTAATATGTGTGAAAATATGATAAAGGAATGCACAAAATAAGCGTAAGTGGAAGTTTCTCTCTACTCACGCTTTTGGCAAAAATATTCTTGCAGTGCTTTTAAGTCGTATTAACAGGATCAATCGCTAATTTTTAAACTTGGTAAAAAAAAACACACAAATTTCTGTAGCAATTTTCAACAGCGGTTGACTGTACCAAAACGTAACGCTTATTTTCGAAACATATAAAAATATCGTCGTTTAGTAATCACGTCTAATTTGTATCAAAATTTTTCTTATTCGTATTATTATGTTGTTCTTATTGGTATTATTATCAAGATGAACGCACTTATTGGTATTATTATATTGTAACTGTTTTGGAGATTGGCGTCGTGACGTGTGATGAACTTTACAAATGACGTAAAATTAACTGAAAGAGAAACACTTGTTTCAGCTGAAATTGGCTGAAATCGGTTGCTTTGCCTGGCATTTGGCCAACTAGAGACGGGCGCGTGTTGGCCTATTCCAATTCAAGCAACTTGCAACTAGTTACAGGGCAAGTCCTGTCGTCGTGTCGATCTCACAGAGAAGCTTGTGCTTAAAATAAAAAAGATAAAGATGGCTTCCGAATCTAGCTGCAACATATATTGTTGTTGTTGTCAATGTCGCGCTGATAAGTTCGGCGGACGAAATTCAAATTAGATTGCGTTACGATCGAAATGTTGAGTATTTACACATACACACACATACAGAAATATTTGTTTTGACCGTCACACACACACACACACACACTTGGCCAACTTAGTATATGCATGAGCTTTAAACCGTTGTTAGAGCGGAACAACGCAAAGCAACCGCACAGCTTCATTGAGAACCGAATGCACTCACACACACACACACACACACATGCATACATACACATGTATGTGTAGTACATGTAAACAGTTGTTTAGTGCTTCTCGTTTGTTTACCGCATTTCGGTATTTACAGACAAAATGTAGAAACTGTCTGCAAATTGTATTTTATTTTTGCAGTTTTCATTTCGCTTATAGCTTATACAGCTAGCAGATACATATATATATATATATATATATATATATTTCTTTTCTACATATTTTATCGTTAGCTGCCAAATTTCAACCGCAAGCAACACACACTGATAAACACGGGTTCTTGTTGTTACTGCTTGTTCTTTTTCTTCACTTTCGCATCGTTTTTATAGGTACTTCCTCAGGGGCAAGCAACAAGATTTGCCGCTGTTTTACTTTGCAGCAAACACAAACACATGCACAGCAACACAGTTCTATTTGAGCTTCCATTAGAGAAAAAGAGTGTTAATTATGCACCACATAATATATGGTGTGTACATTTTTCTTTTTCATTGTTATTTTTGATTAGTTCTGTAGTTTTAAGTTTAGGCATTTAAATGTTCAGAATAAAAATGTTCCGTTCGTACCACCCGTTCGCGCTCAGCTGTCCAATAAGACTAACTGCCTGTGAGTTGAAGTCCGATAACGATAACTAGTTCTCATCGGAACTATGCTTTCGGAGCTTCGGAGCTGTGCTTTCGTGTCACTGGTTCAATGCACAAAATCGATCAACTTCTCAGGCGAATAACTAATATTAACTATTCGAGTTAAATGGCAAATTATTTGTATCAGCAAAATAATTATTTCATTTCTGTTTAAATTGATAGGCAACATTTTAGCCGCACTGTATTAAAACTCGGCATGCGCACCGCTAACAGTTTATTTAAAAAACGCTTTCGACTGACGTTTCGAAGCTGGCTGCTACAAAACTGCAGTGTAGCTCATGGAAACTTGAAAGCTCGAAAAACCGTAATATTTTGTGAAATCCCATGCCCATATAAAAATGTCCAATTTGATACTTTTTTTTTTGTTTTTACATACAAACGCTTGTTTATTTCATTTTACGTTCTTTAATTTTGCTTATTATGCATTCTATTTCGTTCGCTTCGATGCGATATCTGCTTATAACTTATGCCACTTAAATCTCTAAATGAATCCGTTGCTGATTTTTATTTTGATCTCAAGTCAAGATTTGAATGCTGTTGTTGCTGTCGACTTTCCGAGGCTTGTTTGTAATATGCTTGTATATTGAATATTTTTTGTATATAAGTGTATAATATATTTAATTTAATACATAAAATTATGCGGTTACCACTGCACAAGATCTGATCACCCCTCATCATCTTGTTTTTAAAATAGTTTTTTTTTTTTTTTTGTGTGTGTGTGTTGTAATATTATATAAACTTGTTGCAGTTGCAGCCAATACAAAGATCATATATAAAAATACAAAAAATCATAACATTTTCATATACATTGCCCATATACACATAGAACTAGGATTAAATATCTCTAAATCGACCTTACACAATCAATATAAAAAATTATTATTATTTAAAATTAATGTCCATCCGCATTGTTGTATAAATAAATGTTTCACTTAATAAACAATTTCACTTCGTTATGGGTTCAGTCCTAAGAACTAAACTCATCTCCAACGATTTCAATATTCGTATGTTTGCTTACGTCTCATTCAAGTTGTATAAATTTCACTATTTAGTCTTAATTGTATATGGAAGTTGAAATTGGTACTCAATGTGTTCAGGATCAACTAGGAAAACAATTTGGGTCTCTAATGGAGGATAAGAGGCTTATCAATTTACTGGCTACTTGGTATTTTAATCATGTTTTATGTTTATTTTAATGCAGCAGTCAATTTGTTGTATTTGCTCGTGATTTTGAATTTACTTTCGCCTTCTCTGTAATTCGATAATAGTTGAGCGTTTATAGTTTATCAATATCTGTTTTCTAATGGTAAATATTGTATGTATATATAACGCTAATGCTTTCAAAAGTGCTGAACACTACACTCAATTCCACTTTGAAATGTTTTGAAGACTTTTTACTTGTTGTTGTTGTTGTTGTTGTTGTTGTTAAGGTATATTTCGGGTTTTATCAATATTTCTTGTGTTTTAATGAGATCGTGACTTAGGAAAGTGTTTTGTTTTCATGTCAGTTGTCAACTGGGGAATTGTTGAAGAGTTATCAAATGCATTGACGTTATTCTGTGTTTTGATTAAATTGATAATCCCATGACGCATCTATGGGATTGCGACTCTTAAATTTGCAATCGTCTTTTCGTAATACTATACTGCCTTACAACGCGTTTATCTAAACTTGTATGCATTAGTGTTTGTGTATGTGTGTGTGTGTGTGAGAAAGTGTGTGATATACTTATATGTAGAATAGATAGATGCTTGTTAAAAATGTTTTGTTTCTTTCTTTTCTTGTATAGGTTTATTTTTGGCTTATGTTTATATGTAATTATTTACGAGTTTTTGATTTTTTTTTTGTTTTTTTTTTTTTGGTATTTAAGAAAAGCGAAAATGAAATGCATTTGAAATAAGTGCTCCTCATCGGCTAGGAGGTTAGAGGGCGACAAAATACGCTGGGTAAACACAGAACAAAAGTATACAATGCATTTCTTGTTCACATTTAAATTGTTTTATACTTATGTAAAAATAATGTACAGTTGTAAAATTACATACTAAAATTTTCCTCGCACGAAATTTGCGTAACTTAGAAATCGATTAGAATTAAAATTATTTTGACTAAAGTTTCTTGTTCTCGTAAAAAGCTGATACATAATTGCGTACTTTCGTATATGTATAAGATTTATATTTCTATATATATATATATATATATATATATATAAATATACATATAAATATATATTCATATATATATATATATATATATATATATTTTGTGGTAAATCTATATACGTATGTAGATATATATAAATTTTATATATGTATATGCTGCTTGTATATGCCCATTATGTTGGGCGCCATTTGAATATATGAATGAAATACAATTAAAATATTTAAAATTACACATTTAAATATTTGACGCGATTTCTGTTAACATGCAATATAACTCAGTTCGTGACACGTGCGCCGGTTGCTGAAGACACGACAACCCGGCCATAGCCGGACTCACTTTTAGGACAGTGTTTGTGTAAAGTGTTGGTGTTTCTGGTTCTTATTCTTGTTATACTTGGTGTAGGCAGTAAACAGTAGACAGTGATAGAGGCTGCTTTGAGGCTAAATATTTATTTTGATCTATCTACGATTGAACTCCGATTTGATAGCTGCAAGGCATGAAAATGTGCTTTAGAAGACAAGTAAGCGCAGAAAGCTGGAATGTCGAAATAGCTTACCGTCTATGATTTCGTTTTTCACTTTCTGTATCTCCAGCCGCATCTCACGCACTATCTCAGCTTTCAGGGTGTCCAGGTCGCTGTTGGACAGCGCCAGCGACAGACCATCGCCATTGACCTGCTAAGCGCGACAAGGGTCATTATCAATTATCAATTACCAACTATATAAAAATCAACTCACCTTGAGAATGGTCTCCTCGCTGGCGCTGCCGAAACGCTTGCGCATGGGACGCGGCGATTCGCCACCGCTGTTCGTTGTGTTGTTACCGCTGCCGCCACTGCCGTTGGCTCCGACTTGTGCACTTGACGTGGTGTTGCTGCCGCCGCCACTGCTCAACTTGTGGGGCAACGTATTTGACTTTTCCCACGGCCTTTGTTTAACTTCTGGCTCAGGATCGGGCTGCACAGAGTCGATAAGTAGCAATAAATAATCGTATATAGAAATTGTCATAAACACCCAACTCACCTCCTTTTTCTCGGCCTGCGCACGACGCCGAGCGAGCGTCTTGGCCATCTCGTCCATCATAGATGCCATGCCATTGGAGCTACGTCCAATGGTGCCATAATTACCGCTGCCGCCGCTGGAGGTGCTGCTGCCGCTATTTTCAGGAGCAGCTGTTGTGGACTTAAACAAACAATCGAAAAATCGATTAGCCAATATTGTTCATTATAATTTGACAGCTCTTCCTTACCTTGTTCTTTTTTAGTTTAAACTGCTGCAGCTGCGAGGCCAACGAGCCCATAAGATCGGCTTGCGGATCATCCTTCTTGCCTGCGGCACCGGCACCCACGGGGGGCGGTGGTGGCGGCGGTGGTGCACCAGGACCGCCTGGTCCACCTGACGGCCCCCCCTGAGCCGGTAGCGCAGGCGGTGCCGGCGGCTGCGGTGGCGCTGGAGCTCCATTAAACATCTGTGGCGGGGCCGGCGGTGCACCACCGAATGTAGGTGGCGGTGGTGGTGGCGCCGGCGCAGCCGCTTGTCCTGGTCCGCCGCCCGTGCTGCTCATACGATTAAGTGGCGGCGGCATTGGCACACCACCGCCCTGTTGCTGCATCATAGGTGGTGCCAGCGGAACTTGCCCATAAGGATTCTCCGCCTGCTGCTGTTGGCCATTGTGCTGGACATACCCAGGAGCGGGCATACCCGGCGCCAGCGGTGGCTGAGGTATCAACTGCTGCTGAGTGGTGTACACGACGCTATTGGAGCTTGCCGAACTCGGTATGTGGGCTGGCTGCGCAGACCCATATATGGGTCCGCCCCCATTCTGATGCACCGGCGGCATCGGTGGCTGTGGCTGTGTCGGGTATTGATGTAGATTGAGATTGGGATTAGAGTTTGAGAGCACATAATGGGGCTGCTGGTACTGCTGGCGGGTGGTTGTTGTGGTTGTAACGGTAGCGATGGTGGTGGTTGTGTTGGTTGTTTTGGTGGTAGTGGGTTCGGTTCGTTTTAGTTTTTGGGGAAATTTCAAGCCAATTGCGGACGTGCGAATGTTTGGAATGAAATGAAACAGAAAGGTAAAAGTAGCAACATAGACGGACCTTAAGCGGACCTGGCTGAACGGTACAAGCCCAAGTCGACCACACCTACCTGTGGGGGCGCATATCCCGCTTGCACCATCTGTGGCTGCTGCTGTTGCTGCGTATTATAGACGGGCTGTTGCTGCTGTTGGTACTGTTGCTGCTGCTGCTGCTGTTGTTGTTGCTGCTGCTGCTGCTGTTGTTGTTGCTGCTGTGTCTGGCCGGGTGCAGGAGGAATTTGCATCTGTGGATTACCCTGCTGCGGCAGGCCATTGGACGTTGGCCCGTTTGAAGTGGGTCCGTAGTGCGAGCCCGGCTGTGATGCCAATTGCTGTTGTTGCTGCGGCTGCGGCGCCGGCGGTGCGCTAAGGGAATTCCTTTTTGTGAGCAATTTGTGATGATTCGGCAGTTCGATTCGAAGATCGATTCAATGTATGAGTGTGTTAGAGAGCATGATGTGTTAGGTATCGAGAATCGAGAATCGAGTATCGAGTACGACGACAACAAACAGAACGATGTGCATGTTACAGGAAAGCATGTGTGTGTGTTTATTTTTTGTGTCAGTGTGTGAAAGAGAGAAGAAAAATGAACGAAATCAAAAGATATGTCGACTGATTGATTGATGACCAGTGTTGCCAAATGCCGCTACAAAAAGTAGCTGAATTTAATGTTAAATTGCAGCTAAATTTAGTTTTGCTAGAACTTGTCATTCAGATGTCAAACAAAGGCTAAATTAGTTTGAAAATGTAGCTGAGACTTGTGAAATCAATCAACTATAGCTAGATAAAGCCAAATTGGCAACACTGTTGATGACATGAGTGCCCTGGAACTGAAACTGTGATCAAAGACCCACCTGCTTGTGCGATGATGTCCCTGCGGCGTTGGCGGACTCTGCGGTATGTTGTTCTGATTTGTCTGCGATGTTGGCGTTTGGGCCGATGGTGTTATGTGGCCGGCCATACCGTTGTTCTGTCGCAAAATTGCCGCATCTTCGCTGGTCATCGTACGGTAGCCCATATCCTCCTCGTATCCATTGCCATTTGTAGGCTGGCCGGCAGGATTGTTTACCACGCGACCACTTAGCACCTGGCCACAAGTCGATGGACAGAGAAAGAGAGAGAGAGAGAGACAATGACACACATTGCTTACGGCTAGAAGCAGGAGAGAACCCGACACTTACCTCCAGGGCATGCATCATGGCCCGAGCAAAGTTCTCCGCGTCGCTCTGGCTGGAAAAGTTAAGACCGTATACATACTTGGAGTCGCGCCACTGATGGAACGTGGCCGTAGCCTGATTATATTTGAGACCCTTTAGTATAGAGCAGTTGATGACCACCTCATGGTCTTGCAGCTTGCGTCCCACCACACGAAATGTGTTATTCTGCTGGTGATGATAGATTTGCACCTTGCTCAATCCCGACGAGCTGCCCGATGGCACCCACTTTTTCTGGTTGTCATCGTAGACCATCACAGAGGCGCGGGCGCCAATAATGCTTTGCTCACTGTAAATAAATGAAGAACAGATACGCAAGACTAATTATTTGAGGGAGCCGAGGAAACGAGTAAGATATCGAAAACGTAAAGCGCACCACAATCAGAAAAGCATTAGATGATTTATTCAAGGTACAACTAACATAGACTTAACATCCCGACCACACCTCTGGTTAATTCTGTTTCTTTCCATTTACGTCTCGGCTTTCACAAAGTTTCACACGCTTGAACTGAAGTGCAGTGATCTCTGTGGATGAAGCTGTAGCCGGGACTGGACAGGAAGCGCTTGGCGTTCATTGTAAAGCCCGTATTCCCCCTGAGAAAATTGCACACCTGTCACGCAGTTGTCATTGCCCCGCCGCCGATTAAATAGTTCTAATGAACTTTTACGCAACCTTTAACATATTTTTTGCGGCGCATTGACAATTAAACCGGAAAAACTAAACACGATGCAATAGAAGAGTTTCAAATATGCTGCAAGCATGACGTTGATGACAACAGCTCGGCTCTCAGTCGCTGCAACAAGCTGCAAGAGTTAATGACAGCCCCAACAGAGACAAAACAAAAAAAATAAAAGAAAAAACGAGTTACGATCGCCGTCTTTTTGCTCTGTCTAGAGCTGGCTTCAGTATTCTGGCAGGCAGCAAAACTTGGCCTGTCTTAAAGTTGACTGGTTTTGCACTTAAATGGAGCCCGATATCTAGCGCTATGTGTGCGAGGGAAGTGAGGAAAATGGCCGAGAAGCAAGTCCACAGCTGTGCGGCCTTATATAACAAACGTGCTGTGTTGGGGTAGTTGGTCATTTACGGCATACGATGATGTGTTTCGTGGAACGAAAGTGAAGTTTATCTATGAGATACGTGTAATTTTGTTAGATACCAACAGGGACGAGACGCAGATGATCTTACTCTCTCGTACTGGCTGGCATTCCCAAACGATTTGCAGGCTCCGGCATCGAGTGCTTCGCTTCAAATGAACAGCAAGAAAGTGGGAGGTTTATTCAGTGGTTGGAAATGAGCATGTGGTCAGGTAATGAGATTAATGCAAATTACATTCCATTCATGTGGGTCGTTTAAAGACTTCATTACGGCGAACGCAGGTGAAATTTTGTGTTTATATTTCGTTTTGAGCTTGAGTTGTGGATTAATTCGTGCGTTAAGTTTTATGCACATTTCCAGCACGAAAGCAATTTTCTTTATAGGTTTTAATTTGCGTTCAATTATATACAGTTGCGAGCACATTGGTAGCAGGTCGACACGAGGAAGCCCTCTGCCAGCGAGCGATCCAAATTTAACTTGGGATATACGCAGGAAATCTAAACTTTGCCTGTGATACGACGCCAGATGGGCAAGGGAAATATGTAATGGAAAATATTCAAAAAAGATTGGATCACGTTTCAAGATCTGTGACCTGTAGGAAAAAGGACGCTCAAATTGAAAAGCCGATCTGAGAGAAGAAAGAAAAATAATATGAAAAGAAGAAAAACATACGTTAAACTTGTTGGGCCCCCAATTAATTTATATTTGACCGAATTATGGCGACGTTGAGGGATGCGTTGTACGTGTTGCTGTTGCTGTTGCTGCTGTTGCTGTTGTTGTTGTTGTTGCTGTGGTTGTTGTGTTTGCTTGTTTTGTTGCTGCAGTAGCAAATAATGATGAATGTTGCTATAGAGATGCTGATTTGCGGCTGTTGTTGTTTTTGTTGTTGTTGTTGTTGAACGTGGCGCTCTAATTGAGAACGAGATAGAGCTGGTCAGTCTGGACGGAGCAAAAGCAGGGACAGCGGAGCAATTGGAAGTGGAAGCTGGGTCAGCGTTAGCTGATATCGAGTTGGTCGCCGAACGAGACTGGGACGGGAGCGGGGACTGGGGCAGAGCTACGCACTTGCGTAAAGTAGAAAATATAGCAGTCGATGTGGACAAAGTGGAGGCAGGCGCAGAGGTAGATACTGTGGGAGGAGAGGCTGGGCTAGCTATCAAGATAGAGTTTGTGGTCGCGGTGGATAATGATGTTGATGTTGATGTTGATGATAATGATGCATCGACATGTCTGCTGTGCATTGAACCAACATCTTGGCCCGTCGGTACGTACAAGGACTGGTCATTGACTAGCGATTGTGTCCATGTGGGCGCCTCATAGATGGGCGTGGGCGTGGGCGTGCCCTGGGCCATGGGCAACTGCAACACCAGTTGTTCATGCTCGTGGTAAGCCGTGACACTGCGCTGACGCAACAAAAGATCCTGCTGGTAATGATGGTACATGGGATGGCGATAGTCCAGCAGATCCAGTTCCTGCAGCTCCCTAACGCTGTAGTAATCCCTGCCAGCCGCCGGCATACTTCGGCCCTTGTTGTAAAGACTTTGGCTGCGCTTGACCAGCAGATCGGCATCCTGTTGTTCCTCGTTCGCCTGGAACTCGCACATGGCCAGCTTTGCATTGGCGGGCTGATGATAGGCCAGAATGGGCCCAGCTACGGCGACACTAGCATTGGACTTCTTGCTCGTAAACGAGGTTTTGGCATAAAGTTTCTTCATGGCCATTAAGTAATAGCAAACATTTGCAGAGGCAGCCGTACACACACACACAAACACAAACACGGTTCCCCAGACAAGCGTTCGGTCACACGATCACAGCACTCAATAAATAAATGGAATTGATGTTTGTCTAGGTTCGCTTCGTTCACAAACTATCGTATGTGCAGCCGTGGCTGCTGCTTGCGGCTGATCGTAATCGAACCTCAATTGAGACTGAACGCGCCAAACAAGTCTCGGCCTGAACTTGGCCCCAGAAAGAGAGGCAGAAACATACGAGCATGGAGTTTGCCAAGCCGCTCACAGAACAGCCACTCGACTCGCGGTGAGCCGAAGCCAAAAGAGCAACAAGAAAAGAGCAGACAACGCGAGCGAGAGCGACGATCGCCGATCACGGCCGAGAGTCTGTGTAATTACACTTTCAGACAATAAAATAATGAGATGTGCTACTGAGATCCATTCGTAGTCTAGCCGACCCACAGATCCCTTAAAATTGTCTGCTCTTCTCTTCAGTATTATTCGGTTCCCACTTGACGATGCAATTAAAAAGCCGCTCGCATCGCAGCCTAAGCTCAGCTGTAGACAGCTCTCCTCCCTTGCCCAGTTGTCCATTCTGTCAGATAGTCTAGTCGCTCAGTCAGTAGATCAGTCCGTCCTTCTCTCTGCGATAATTACTTAAGAACGAGCTCAATAATTTATATTTCCCCCCGAGCGACTATAAAGTTCTTTTTTCTTTTTTTTTTTTTTTTTTTTTGTATTCAGCTGTTTTGTTGAGGCGGCATAGCAGTAAGTAGGAAGCAAGTCGGCAGGAGGACAGGGGAATGCACAGCTTGTGGCATGCCATGAAAAATTCATATAAATACAGTCTGTCTCGCTGCCGAGCTGTAGAGCTGCCGGCGGTTGAGTAACTGAATCAGTTTGAATTTTTTTTTTGTTCTACTACAATACTTAAGCGTACATTTCCAATTAACATGGTATTTATCTATTTAGAATGTTGTTGCTCTTAGAGCTCGTTATAATGCGCGCGTCTGGTCTTTAAAGCTCTGTGTGTGATTTTTGTATGATTTGAGCTACGATTATTCTGCAGCTTAATGGCTTTGTAAAACGGGCTAGGCCTGGCAGGCCACAGCTCGAACTCGTACTCGAATTTAACACTCAATAGATCAGGCCGTGCCTTAAATGATTTGGCAATTCCTCGGCTATAGCGTCTTTATTAGTTTCTAAAAGCCCTACATGGCAACAAAGGGGAGGTCTGACAGTCCGAACGAGCAGCAATCGAAAGAGCCTTAACTCTTGCTGGAATCATTCAATACTTCTCCAATCCTCCAGCATCAATCAGATTTGAGTTAGTCTCGGATTTGACTCAAAGAGCTACCGAGTTACCTGTTCCTGCGTTGTTCCACTTTTCCGCATTTATTATTAAACTTTTTCAAAATGAATAAGCAAATGATTCAGCAATGCGACTCACTATGTTGGTCGTCGCTCTTGAACTGTTTCTATTTTGGACGCATTACTCGACTATTAGATAAAAATGCACTGGTTGAGTGAATGCGTTACAATTAGACCGGAATTCAAGGGCTTTAGGGAGATCTGTTGTGCACTTCAAATCAATTAAACAATTAAAGTAACCCCGAACTTTCAAGAGCTGCACAGTAATTTTCTCAGTACACCATTGATAGAGACCCGAGCGAGAAACTCTAGTTAGCTATATTCTACTTTTGGGCCATTTAATTGCAAATTCCACTGCGGAGAGTGTACCGCAATGGGCTAAGCTAAACTGGACAAACAGAGCGGGGCCAAAAGCTGAGTGCTCAGTTTAAAGCCTGCCGTATTTCCGCGGAGACAACACGGCAACGGCAACGGCAACGGCAACGGCAATAAATGATGACACACCCAGAAAATGAGCCCCAAAACTGACTGAGTTTTTCGCTTATGAATCAGTTATCAAGCAGAACGGAGACAAATGCCCTGACTAAGCACACAGTCCGATTTGGCAGGAAGCCGACGGATGTGCCACTCCCCGGTCGCGTAAACGTCATGTAGCTAAAACAAATTATGGGCATTAAAAAAGACAACTTCAGGCCTCTAAGGGCTGGGTGTCACCTCGTTTCGCTGACCTATAAACAATTGGCAGTCTCAATGTGGGCAGGTATTCCGTTCAGTCAAATTGTATCGGCTCTAGTGGGACACATGTCGATCGACAAGTCGCTAGCAGCATCAATATCGTCAATTGGGTTAACCAAGAAAGAATTAGAATGCCAGTGAGAGTGGCCGGCGTCATAATTGAAATGTCCTTGACTGAAGTCAAACGAATACGCAACGTTTCAACGTCGTGGCGACTGATAAATTACAATAACTTTGCGACAATGTAATATATCTTTAAATATATACATATAAAAATATACATAAGATGAAATCAAACTTGAAATTCGATGTGGCACTTACGTCATTTCGTTTTTGTTTGTTTTTGTTACTGTTGCTTAAGCGGAAAACCGGGCGGACTTTTGATGTATGGAGCGGGGTTAGTTGTGCTTCGCTTGGCTTCCACCAGGTGCTGCTCGTCTCCTCGCTTTTTCTTGTTAATTATATTTATGATATCTGTAAATGTATTAAAACAGAATATCCCGGTCAATAAACACAGTCTTATGCCCGAGCCTAAATTGATGAAAAGAGACCTTGCGATTATAGCTAGCCCCATCAATTAGCTAAAGCAACCGTCGAATGACAGCAAATGAAAGTAGCTGCAGAAAACAATAATAATACAAGCCGCAGAGACTTAATATAAATATAACCGTCGATAGACAATGCGGCTTCTGTTCCATGGCTTATTTACTTTTTCTTTCTTTTAAAAATGTCAAAAACTCTATAAAAAATGTGGCGAACATAATGAAGACAACAGACAGCTAAGCTCATTTGCATGAAAGATGCAAGCGGCGTCCCCTGTCTAATGAATACGGTCAATACATAATTCTAAAGACCGAACTAGGCAAAACCACCGAATCGCTTCGGGGCCGTGCAACGCATAAGCGCAGCCAGAGCCATGCGAAATTTGTGTCAAGCTTCTCAAAAAAGGTTTTTGACCTAGTTTCGTACGACGCGTCCCCTCCACATAGAGCATTGTTTGCGTCATAGTTAGCTAATAACCTGCCCTTAGCGCGCCTTCGCAATCGTTATGCGGGCTCGTTACTCCAACGTCCGCTTTGTGGCCGGAAGTGCCCAGAATGCGCAAAATCCATTGAGTATAGAGTTTATCACAGCGACCACATTCGCGATGTAATTATCAGCTACTTCTGGTGTGTAAGCATATTCTCAGTCTGTAAGTAATTGTTTTTGTTTTTATTCAAATTGAAAGGGCGACAAATCGACGTACTCGTGTGGACGATATATATTTCGTTCTGGTGAGAGAAATCTCTTCAAAAATAGATGTGTGCTGACTCAAGCAATAAT